TATTTGTGAGTTGTACCCTAAAACAGAGTTCATTCTAAACATTCTGTTTATATTTGTGTGTGTATGAGCAAATATAATCTGAAAAAATGGGACATAAACTAAAGTACCAAAGTCTAGACCATGAAAATATAATCTATCAAAGTAATTTATTTGCAGTTTTTTCAAATGTATTCGCTAAAGTGTCATAATTGAGTTATTTAGTGACCTTGACATTAAGAAAGTTTGAATTCAAGATAAAGGTTCTCATGTGGCTTCAAACGAGGGGCGGTACATACTATGTTATAAAATCACAACTATAAACATAGAATCTTATATATATCAACAAAAGGATGGACAACGGTTCTATGATTTATTGAGTAAACTTCATAGTATGAAACTTCTAAAGAGGCTTACCTTTCTAGATCTGGTAGATTCTTGGAAGTTATCGGTTGTTGAGATGCACGTGTGTAGTGAGAAAATAATCTGCACTATAAAAGATGAAACATTAATGTTAGATTCACTGGTAAAAAATTGGAGTGCCATTCAAAGATGATTTCGGTAAATAGATGGAATCGAAGAAGTTTAAATCATCATACGTTTGTTCATATATTTAGGATTTGGTGGCAAAGATTTCAAGAGCGACAAAAAAAGGGCAAGAAACTAAAAACGGAAATAACAATAGAAATTATAAGTACCCTTTTTAAAAAAAATAAATAGGAGGTTTAGAAAGGAGTTCAGGTTCTAACTGACTCAAAAACACTCTAGGGGTATACCAAAAAGATGAATGTTTGAATCAGTTATAGCCAAATGATATAATGCACCCACGGGGTCTACCCGAGGGATGGACATATACATCATTCAGTTCTTCAGCTTCCTCCCTACCTCTTTTTTATTAATTTTCCATTAAATAAAAGAGTCTGGAAGTGCTTAAGACTTGCCATATTACAAAGCTATTTGAGTATAACTCGTACATATGGAAATGAAATTTGATCTAAACGAACTAGACTACGAGCATGCCTTGGCAATTCCCCCAATCTAGTGTAAACGCAAGATTGCCCTTGTGATCCTTGACCGGCCAAGCTCTCCGCCACTGAATTTGCTTCACGAAAAATATGAGAAATTGAGTATGAACGCCTCTCCATAATATGATGAATCTCTTTAATTTGAAAGTAATATTTCCATGGAATTAATTTTAGATTCTTCAAAAGATCGGCCAGCAGCTTGTTGTCCGTTTGAATGTCAACATGCTCCAAATTAAGATGATCACATTTTCGAACACCAAAAAGAAGGCCATAAACCTCTGCGCCAAAACTGTCACACGACCCAATATACCCATGCTCTTCATAAAGGAAGTTCCCACCAAAGCACCTAATGACAAAACCATAGCCCGAATCTTCATTAGCAGCCGACCCATCATTATTGAGAACAAAGCCTTCATTACTCCGCGACTTCCAACAAACCGAGATACAAGTCCTTCTTTGGACTTTTTGTAATTTGATACCAAATGCATTATAAATGAATTCCCTTTCCTCCACATTCCTTGTCTTCAAATCATGCACAAACAAAATGTTCCGAATTGAGATAGTTATTTTATGAATAACTCTCCCCTTCTCAAACGGAATACCATCAAAGTATATTTGTTCCTAGCTTTCCAAACCTCCCAAAGAATAAAAGAAGGGAGTATTCGAATGATAGATTGTTTCGCCAAGGTAAAGCCACCGGCACTCCACCACTTCTGTAACAAATCCAGCAATGTAGCCATAGCTTCTATTTTAATGTCAAATAGTTTAGCAAAATGCACCCAAATACATTTGATTTCCGGGTAGCCAAAGAAGCAATAGGATATATTCTCTTCATGCATTCTACAAAACAAACAAATAGAGGGCCGAACCTGGATACCGAAACTAGATAAAATCTCTGGAAATGGCACCAACAAATTCCTGAGCTTCCAAACAAAAAACGACACCCTTAGAGGAATCAATTTATGCCAAAAATTCTTAGCCAACGGATCAACTGGATTCCTTCTCCTCAGGCTCAAGAATGCCGACTTTATTGAAAAGATACCACTAGATGAATGCTGCCAAACAAGCAAATCAAGTTCGCCAGTGAAGGGGATATCCATGTCAGGCAACATTTGCACCTTTTGCATCCCAAGCGCCCCATGCAATTCATTTAAGAGCAAGTCCTTATTAGTAAGGAAATTCTGTATAGTAAGAGTTGGCATTGGGGGAGAACCATATGTGCAATCCCAAAGTATGCCATCGGGCATCCAATTATCAAACCAGAAAAACCTATCACCTCCACGGACCAAAACCTTTGAATTTTTTGCTGCCTCTTGCTCAACTTCGAAACCCTACTCCAAGTTGTTTTCTTTTTTGCAGTATCCGAGAGTGAGCAGATAAATTTGCTCCATAATCCATGTTGATGCTTAAATTTCCACCATAGCTTATAGGAAAAATCTTGCACAACATCAATAAATCGGCGCAGCCCTAGACCATTTTCCTCAGTTGGAAATGTTAATCGTTCCCAAGAGTGGCAATGCCTTCTCTTTTCTTCACTCGAACCTTGCCACAAAAACCTTTGGCACCTTTTCTCCATTTCCTTGAGGACCGATGCGGGAGGATTAATAGCGGAAAACACATGGATTGGTAAGGCAGCAAGTACATGTCTCAAAAGAATAAGTCTTCCGCCCGTACTTAATAATTTATTCTTCCAATTAGCCAACCGAGAATCCAGCGAATCCAATAAGAATTGGAAAGTTGAAGCCTTTTTCCTCCCCTGAAATAATTTTCAGCCTAGATACATAAAAGGAAATGAACCCTTTTGCATCCCCAAGGTATCCGTGATGATCTCTATCCTTCGCGCCTGACATGACTCCGCAACAAGGAAAAAACTTTTTTGACGATTCATCCTTTGGCCTGATGCTATTTTGTAATCATTGAAAAAAGCATCCAATGTTCTTAGAGATCGCTTTTCTCCTCTAGTAAAGATTACCAAATCATCGACGAAGGATAAATTCGACACCCTCAAGCTCCCAGCTGGAGTAGCATATGCAGCTAGCTTTCCTTCATGCATAAAAAAAATTTAGACGCCTAGTCATTGCCTCTGTAACTAGGATAAATAGGTAAGGTGACAACGGATCCCCTTGTTTTATACTACGTGTTGCCTTAAAAAACCCTGCTGGAGAGCCGTTTACCATCACCGAGAACCTGCTGCACTGAAGATTATTCATAATCAACAAAACAAACCCCTGCGGAAACCTTAGCTTAAGCAAAACCTTCTCTAAAAAATTCCATGATACTCAATCAAAAGCTTTCATCATGTCGACCTTGATGATCACATTATTTCCCACAGCCTTGTGAGTAACAAATTGACAAAGGTCCTTAGCCAAAACCACATTATCTATAATGTTGCGCCCTTTGAGAAAAGCCAATTGCTCCTCCGATATGATTTTTGGCAAAACATTCTTCATCCTCTCAGTCAAGATTTTAGTGAAAATCTTATTCAGAAAAGTACAAAGACTGATGGATCTAAAATCTGAAAATGTAGTAAAAGAATGCTTCTTCGGCAGCAAGGTAATTAAGGTACTAGATATACCTTTCGGAAGCGGCACTCCACTCATGAATTCAGAACATGCGCATAGCAAGTCTTCAGCAATAACCTCCCAAAATACTCTATAAAACGTCCCTCCAAAGCCATCTACTCCAGGAGAGCTATCCTCACCAAGGCTGAAAACCGCGGCTCGCACCTCATCCATTGTAACCGCAGCACTTAACATTTCTTTGTCCAAAAAATCAAGCTCATCATGTAATAGGTGCAAAAATATTTCCTGTTTTTCTACTTGCAAAGTTGGCGTGGGATCCTCAGCCAGCAAGGTGTGGAAAAAATTCACCGCTTCAGCCTCTATATCCCTTAATTCGGTTAAGGTTCTTCCATCTTCCGATTGAATTTTGTGGATTCCCAATTTTACATTCTTCTCCGCCAACATGGCATGAAAAAAGGATGAATTGATGTCCCCTTCCTTTAACCACTTCAATCTCATCTTTTGTTTCCAGAAGTCTTCATGCTCCTTCAATTTTTGGAGAGAAAACGCATTGGCCTCGCTAAGGTTGATTCGGTCTGCTACATCACCAATTTGATCATGCAGAATTTCCACCACTCTTCAGCCTTTTTTAAATTTGCAAAGACATCTCCAAAGTGTTCTTTATTCCATTCCTTGAGCTTTAATTTCAGTCGGCGGAGCTTGGTAGAAAACGCAAACATGCCATAATCCTGGACAGGCTGAGAGCAATTTTCCTTAACCAACTAATTAAATTCCGGTCTCCTTAACCACTTTTGTTAGAAACCGAAACACCTTGGCCTAATTTCAACTTGAACATCAAATTGGAGGAGCAGTGATGAATGATCCAAAGTTGTACGACTCAGATGCTCCATCGAAATCTTCGGAAAGAGATTAATCTATTCTTGTGATAACAAGATGCGATCCAATCGTTTGCTAACCCAACCGGTATGCTTCGTACAACCCCAAGTATACTCATCACCGATGGGAGAAAGATCAAGCAACTCGCTATCATCAATACATTTTTAAACTCTTCAATAGCGCTATAATCTTGCACCGATGAACGCGAATACTCATCCAAGGACCGAATAACATTAAAATCCCCTCCAACAATCCAAGGAGAGTTAGGTTGCGCACCTCTGAATGTCACCAAGCTATTCCAAAGAGTTCTCCTATCGGCTTTATTTGACTGAGCATATATTGAAGATAACAAAAAAAATTTTTGAAGCGGAATACATATAACTTCAAAATGCAGCGCCTGACCCGCATCTTCGATCGTATTGATGGCAAAAATCCGGCTACCAAACACCCATATTTTACTTGTAGAAGAGGAAAAGGCAATATCAAACCTCAACTCTCTTCTTATTTCTTCCAGTTTGTGACATGGAAGCATTGGCTCTAGTATAATCAACAAGAAAATTTTATAAATTTGAATTATGGACCTCAAACAATGCTGAGATGCCTAACTCTTTATTCCCCGAATATTCCAAAAAACGACACTGATCATTGGATACTTTAGAGAGATTGAAACCCACTGATATCGAAGGAAGCGCCTTAATTCGACACCCTCTGATTGTTTAGCACGTTCTTCCTTCAACTTGCGCCCCCGCTTCTTGGTGACAGTGCGCTCGCCTTGGTCGTTTTCAACAATGTGATCATCATGAACCTCTCCATCAGACCATAACTCTCTCTCGTCATGAACCGCCTTAGTATTATCGATTTCATTCACAGATGAATCATCATTAGATCGAATGGGATCCAGTTGCGGAACCAAAGACATATTCCGCAGCTCAACTTCAAGTAAAGATCTATTCTTGTCTAAATCCATCTTACCATCAATCAATGTAATACCAATATCGTCTTGTTCTTCTTGACTTTGCGTATGAACATCATAATGGACATTTTCCATCTCCTCTTCGACGTCATCATCCTCCGTAGCATGGAGAACCGAAAAAGAAATTATAAGTACCCTTTTGGTAACATCTTGTTAATTGTCCGATGTGATGTCGGAATTCTATTATTGTACGGTAGAGAGTAAGAGGGTGGAATAACTTATGCACATTCTGTATCTTTTTGGAAATGGTTGGAACTTGGAAGGATGAACGTTTTAAAGAATAATACTAAAGAAAGGAATTGTAGTAGCCATAAGTAGATAGGATGGGTTGATTTCTAGGGTTACACAATTGACAATTGACGTGGACCAGTCAATATTATTGGGCTATTTCAACAGTAGTTGGTTTTTGTCAGTTTCCTTAGTGTGGACTCAGATAGTTTAACACAAGAAAAGTTAACTAAAACAATTGAAGAGTATTGATAGGGGCAAAAAAGGTCAACCCTGACTGAATTTCAGCAATCCTGACCTGGTCTATAATGAGAGAGGTTGGCTCAGGCAACCTTAAAGTGGTTGGTAGAACCCTGACATGGATTGTAATAAGTTAAACATTTGTGTATTTGCATTGATAAAATTGTAGTTTTCAGCAGACTTATTGATAAAATTGTAGACCATCCTGTCCCAAAGGGTCAAAATTCTGCTGCCAGTAGTATCCATTACATACACTTGTAACTTGAACCTATACATAAAATCATGGAGTAAAATATGTTATAACAGAATAACATACTAAAAAAGTCACCATTACAACATTTTATTTAATATTGTAATTACAAAAACAGATTGTAAAATATTGAAACATACTTTGGACCAACAGCAGACACAGGGCCATGATTACCACAAAACCATTTCTTCTCAAGACCAAATTTCTTGTTGTCAATGGTATTTCTTCCTTTTACTGATGGTACAATACGGGTACCTTTGTTGTTTTCAATTTCCTCCACATTTTTGTTGCAATCTCTGCAACCAATGTATGACCATTCATACTCTTTTGCTAAGCCTGTGATCTTACCAAAAATCACAACATACCCTGCCTGAAAAAATACAATTTTCATATGTTCAACGATTTATATATCATGTAGATAACATAGTTACGAAAAAATACAGTTTTCATATGTTTAACGATTTATATATCATGTAGATAACATCGTTACGTACGCAAAAGGATAAAATAATTATCACTATTAATATATTACCTCATCAAGATCATCTGTGTCACCCAATGACAAAAGTTTTGCTCCATTAATAAATTCTTCATAAGATGTGTATCCAGATCCGTATGAAAGCATTGAAATTTTTTGGATACTTCCAGCTTTCATTTCATTGGCACTACTTCTGTATATATTGTTTACAAATAATTACAATATGAAAAAAACGGTAATCATGAAACTATATGCTATGTGAGACTTTACATTGAAGGCGAATGGAATTATATAGTGAGATTTCTGTTATGAAAATATATACAGTAATGATGCAATTTTGAAACTGTTTCATACTGAAACATTACTTATGAATAAAACAGTAATTATGCAACTATATGGAAATAATTATAGCAGTTAGTAACAATAATTATACCTGTCTTTGTACTCTGATATGTCGGGTATTGACATATCATCAAGATATATCTTCCCATTGAAAAGATTAGTAGTAACAGAAGCTTTTGCTGTTACATAGTGAAAAAATTATATCTCATATTATATCAATTACAAAAACTTGATTTTAATATGAGTATATCCAGTTACATATAAGTCACTAAAGAGTACTCACAGTAGTATTTTTTGCATTTAACATACTGAACAATGAGAACCACAGGAGACGGAGGATTGTTAGACATGTATTTAGTGACTTGATCAGCATGTTCACCCCATAAAGTAACCTTTAGCTTGTCTGCCCTGTAAAACAAAAGAAATTTTTTTATTACAAATGTTTTACCTCTTTCAGTATAGTCCAAAATGAATAATTTCTGTTTAGACTGTAAAATTTCAAGTAACTTTGACCTTTCATCTTCAAGCTCCACGGAAATCCTCTTCTTTCCATTTTCAACAATTGGATCACTGTATGCCATGATGTGGCCTATCAAATCTGCAAAGTTTGAAAATATTTTAAACTTTCTATACAAATTTTATAGTGAAATTTTACAACAACTTTACAATCATCTCACCAAAACAATAATCAAAGTTGGCAACAAAGTTTGTAACTTCAGCCAATGGTGTGAATTCAAACACATGATCTGGGATGTCAAAATCAAATGCAGCTTCAACATTTGTGTTTGACATAAACACAATTTTGTATTCGTGCTTAGCACACCTGAACCCCCCACTAATATTGAGACAACTGTCAAATCTTGATAATCGCCTAACACAACCTTCTTTGAAAGAATTTGCAAAATCTTTCACAATTCTTCCAGGAATGGTTGCTTGAATTTGGCTTCCCTGATATATACATACAAATAGTTAACAACATGTATTTTATTTAACTCGTTTGTCCATAAGAAAACTCTAAAATCAATTATGGTAGAAAACTGAATACCTGAGCATCGATGAAGCACATCTCAACAGACTTGACTTTGTTTTTTTTGGATAATTCTGGAACCTCCCAAAGTGTCATCACTTTGACAACTATGGTGAAATGGTTGCTTTTTGTATCAATCAATCCATTGATATCAGCGATGTATCTTTGTGCAGCATGTATGGGGACACCTGTAGCACCAACATCATTTGGTGGTGTAGCAATGACATCTTCAGATGGTATGACAATTGGATTATCCACTGCATTTTCATTCACAGTTTCAACAAAATCTTCAGGTACACGATTTGAAATTGAAGTTTGGTTTGTTTCAGCCATTAGTAAGATAAGGGTAATATGAGAATCTGAAAATCTGAGATTTGCAAATTGCAGGAATGGTCTGGTGCAGGATATGTGAGGATGTTGTCTATATTTATACAGGTAACATATTGTCTCATATAGTATATTTGTATAAATTGAATTGTGTTGATAATGGTTACAGACTGGCAAATATTTTTTGATTTGTTCTGTGATTGGAAAGTGATTATATACACAGAAAGCTTGCAGATATGCACGTTTGTGCAAAACAATTATGGTTTTTTTGAATTGGAGGAATCTAACACTGACGAAGATATGACGATAATATATGTATTTATGCAGGTTGGGCATTGGCTGACAGTATATTTGTGAAGATTAATTTGTGATAATAATGGTTACTGGAAGGCAAATATTTTGAGATTTGTTGTGTGCTTGGAAAGTGCTTGATGATATGCACTGAAAGCTTGCAGATATATACGTGATTAAATTGAAGAAGAAATATACATATTGCCTCATTGGACATTTTTCTGATGATTCATTTGTGATGATAATGGTTACTAAAAGTCAGAGATTTTCATATTGGTACTGTGGTTGAAAAGTTGTTGTTGATATACACAAAAAGCTTGGAGATATGTACGCCGGATTAATGAATGTATTGATTGAGTTTTTTGATTGACAGTATAATTCCTTTCAGGAAAATCCTTTTAGAGTTTTAAATGTAAATTTTCCATGATTTGAATGCTATGGTGCTAATTATACAGAGTATGCAGAATTTTAGTTTCTGTTAGCAGATTATATTATCCCATTGAATAAGGGATATGATGTGATCATTTTCTTTTTTGAACAGAAGAATTTAAGGGTGGCAAATGCTTTTAAGATGCTTTTGTTATGATTACTGTGAACAGAATCACACATGAATTGAGAGACTTTCATATTTGAAAAATTACGGCCTATTGTTTTAGCCTTTCAACTTTGTTGTCGATATGTATTATTTAATTCAGTTACATATGCCATATTTACAGCTGTTTTTAAGGGAAATTTACATCATAATTGTAGTCAGTCTTAACTGATTAGATAGTTCCCTAAAATGAAGGATTTTCAAATTCCGAATATGGATGCATGACTGAAATTTTCTCCACATACAAAACTGAAATTTTCTGTGCCACATGTCATATTTACGCTGACTGACTTTTTGTACTGAGAAGCATTGTGGTGCTTTGGAGGGAAAATTTCCTTCCTGGTGCTGACACGTGTACTTCGTGTTTGCTGCTTTAAGTAAGTACTATAGATAAATTATTATGTAATTCGTTATCAGCAATTATTGAATCCATGAAAACAATATACAACCGTAGCATACAATTCAGAATAATGAATGTTATGTGTGATTGCAAAGAATTTAATAGTTCCATTATCATTTAATTTAGTTACGTAACAAATGAAATCTCCTCATTTTTTGAAATTAATTGGTTAGGTTTAGAGGTTGTATACGTAGTCGTGTAAATGAATAGGTTGAAAAATTCACGGTAGTTGTTAAGTATTAAAAATAATGGAAATGGAAAGGGAAAAAAAACTCAGATACTTATTGTGCATTGATCACAAGGATAGCACAATCGACTGAAGAAGTAAACTTTTTGCGTGAAGAAAAGGGAAAACTATCCGCTGAAATGTAATTCACGAATTTATAAACTTTTCATGACAAGCGAACCGATCCAAAGCAGAGCAAAAAAGGTTAGTCCAATTTGCAGGTTCTTTGCCTTCTTTTCCAATGATATTTTCATAATTAAAAGGAGGTATGGTTGCCATAATGATTGGATCTAGTAAGGAATGTTGATTTTAGAAGTAATAGATTTTCATGATATAAAGTAAGTTTTAACTTTTAAACAAAAGAAGCAATTTATCTATCAGTGTTTCCAGTTTGACCTGTAAAAGAACAATGCTGCTATCACTTATTCAACACTTCGCTGTCACAAGAAACTCTTCCCCGTTAATCTTTATAAGAACCTGTCTCCGAAGAAGAACGCTAGTATGTTTTAAAAGGAGAATGGTTTTGACTTTTACTAACAATGCCATAATTCACTATTTTCGTTTTTGTTTCAACCTCTAATGCTTTTTTCGTTTATAGATGATGGTAGAGATAACGAGTTAATTTTTGAGAGATCCAAATCCTTTCACGTCAAAAAGGTGCCACATAATTCAATTGTTTCTCGACACGGTAAGTATTAAATAGTAACAATTTGAAGCCAAAAAGAGAAACAACAAAAAAGGATCTAGCCTTCATTTCACCTGATGATTTATTGTATGACCAGAATGATCCAAGGAGGATAGCATAAGAAGATCGATTGTGAAAGGATGAAGGGATATTCTTCGATCGCACCCTTGATAGTTTAGTAATGGCATTTTCTCAGGAAGAGAATTGTTAACTCATCCTTGTTTAAAGGCATGCAATGATGAGAAGAATAGATCACCCTTTTGAAGATAAAGCAGGATCGTCCAATTATTAAAAACGTAATAAAATTTATGATAAGAGCCACATGATTAAGTTTGTATAAATTACTAATTTCATATGAGTGGAAAAATTGTTATAATTTTTCAATTTTGTAGAAATGAAAATTTCCCATTATGAGATTATGAAATTATGATTGATGTTTCAATTATTTCTGATACTTGATTCCTCGTCTTTCCTTGCATTCTTTATTGTTGAAAGAGTTTTCTATAACTTCACTTGGCTTCAGAATCGTGGATGTAATATAGGGTTCAAAATGTTGAGTGCAGAAAGTCAATTTTGTGAACCCTGGGATTGTTTGCAAAACCATGACGTAGTATGTCTCTAATCGAGCTTGTATGAATTTTATAAAATGCAAAAATGAATATTACATTTTATTTCTTGTAACACAATTTAAAGCAAATTTTAGAATTCTATTTAAGTGCAAACCCTGGAAGAGTAGATTCATGAACCCTGAAACTGTTTTTTTTAAAAAAAAAAACTCTGATGCTTGCCACTTGGTAACAATATGGACGTAGGCATGTAGCAATGGGCCTTTGCCCAGTAGATTTAAATAATCATGGGTTTCTATTTGGTTATAGTATTATCTTAATTAGCATCTCTTTATCATTATTTGATTTATGTGGATAAAAAGTTTGCCAATTACCTAACTCTAAGCAATAATTAATAAGAGATTAAGGCTCATTAACATGCATCGTAATAGGGAAAACAATTTTATTTTTAAAGTTAATGCACTGCTTGATACAAAATAATCCATTACAGAATAATGGACTCTTAGGATCACATTTTTAGAGAATTACTAGGAAACTACATTTAACAATTGCTTTGCAGAACAAGCCAGAAAGATCTTACAATTAAACAACCAAATGCACGTGTTATAGATAACGTCGTATTCTTTAGGCCTTGAATTAAGTTAATATGATACTAATTAACTTAATCGTGCAGTAAGAAATGATTCGCCATGAGATAAGTTAGACAATGCACACTTCATTTCTCCTAATGGCAATGAAAGCAGTTTTTCTTCTTTGTCTTGGGTCAGATCAATGGGATCTTTGGAAGACCCCCTATAGGATAGCATGATAGAGTAGGAGACACAGTGTATATGGCCCTTACCATAGGACAAAATGGATTGTAATACATTATATACAAAAGAAATATTTCAAAATGACATATTCCATAACTACTGGTTTTCATAGCTGGAAGATAATAGTTTGATGATGTAAAATGGGAATGGATGTTCTGAAACTGCTATTATATCCGAGAGTTAATTCAGTGTTCAGTGATTCGTTGACCATTGTTCCTGCTGGTGTGGTGAGATCCATTAAAGATAAGATTTTGCATCCAGAGTTCACATTATACATAAATGAGCTGAGTATTTGGAGTCGAATAGAGAAAACTTGTGCAGCATAAACGCATTCATGTTGAGCCTGTATAAAGACGTAAACTTTAAGGCCAAGATAAATCATATTAATAAGATTACTGTAACATTCGCAATTCCGTTGTTAATAAATTGAGATGAAATACATAACATGTCTGTTTTTTCTGCAAACTCAATTGTTGTTGCCATAAAGTTTTTTTTCAGCTAAACGGCCCGAGATTTCAGCACTAATTGAATTTGTTTTATCAATGAGATTGACTTTGAATTTATATCTATGGCATCCAGGCCAGATGAATTTTATGGTTAGGACGATTTTTCATGTCATAATGCATGTATGTGTAGATATAATTAAAAGGTAATGAAGAAAAATTTGTTTTACAGTGGTATGATTTGTCGTTTCATGCTAAAATAACTGCAAATATCTTCCTCCTTACACTTAGAAGCCATGGGACATTAGCAAAAATTGCAAGCCATATGATAGTATCTGGTTTCATAATGGCAAATATTAATGGCTAAGAGCACTCACGCAGTCTGTAGTATAATACTTATTGTTTGAATTTGATCAAGTAAATTAGGAAATGTTTGTGGACTTATTTAGTTGATCAAATTAGAACAATAAATACTGATTATCTTAGTTCAATATAAGGATCCTTGTGAAGTTCATCATGTAAACCACTGGTTCCATTATTCCATCAGACAGTATCCATGGACGGATGTACTCATCTTCATCTGCACATGCTTTGATGAAGTTATATGATTCACAAATCCTTGATTTGAGAACAAAAAAAAAATTAGTAGTTTTTCTAAGAACAAGAACAGAGTTGATATGAAAAGGAACGCCACAAATCTTAACAATTTTTCATATCTTACGACTTTTGTAACGAATATTCTTCCGGTATATTTGGACTTATGACAATTCCTGTAGCTTCATTTCCTTTAATATTGAGGCCTATAAATTGATTATGGGGAAGAAAATTCGTAATACAAAACATAATGTACAAATTATATTGATTCCTTAATGACACAACTTACCGTTGAAGTATCTGGCCAATACTTTCTTGAGTGCAATCACTGGATAAATTGTCTTCTTTTCTTGGAGAACAACTTCTAATGGCTTTCTAACATTGTCCAGAACTATGAGCGACAAGTTTCTGAACCTAGAGTAATTTGTTAAAATAGTTAAAATGGGAAAATAATACGTAATCGTTTTACCACTAAACCAAAAGGAGGGAAAAAAAAAAGTCATAAAATAAGTTTGCTCTTGATTAATCATAAGAAAGAGATGAATCTGAGCATTTTCCTCTGTTTTTTCATCACAAAACGAAAGCAATGGTTTGATAATTATGCCAATGATATTTGTAAAAAATACTGAAGCACGAAAGTTTAATATTTTATTAATATAATCTCCTGAAATAATGAATACGAAGAACAGGGGAACTACTATGAACTAACCAAAATTCAAATCTTTAGCAGGAAGAAATTCAGAGATATCTGCAAAAGGAACATAGTTTGCTACAAATCGGGGAATAGGTGGATATGTCTTATTATGTAACGAAGGAATCTCAGAATCAGGATTTTCCATTAATTATTATATACTTGGAGTGTTGTAATTAAGACTTAACAAGCTCTACAATATGACGGCAATTTGGAGTTCTGCAATGAATGGATAGAAGAAAGATTTAAGATACACAGACATAGATTGATGTAAATGGAAGAAGCAAAAAAATATAGAAGTATTGAAACTTATGAATTTGGTCGATGGAAGATGAATGGTAAATAAATAACGACTCTAACTTATAAGGAAAAAGTAAGAGACTTTGTTCTAAATTAAAAGACTGGACATATTGCCTATGACTGAGATATTTACAGGAAGTATGGTATCATTATGGTCGCACAAATGACAAACAGTTAAGTGGTTGGTTATATGTGTGGTCACTTCTTATTTTGAGAGAAAAGTATCAACAGATACGGTCATTGATTGATAAAAAAATGCAGAGGTATGAAATGTAAAGTAGTTTCATGGAGAGGAGTAAAAGTATTATACTGAAAGAGGTCGTGAAAAAAGGATTACTTTAATAGTTACAGACGAGAGAAAGGGTATGGTATGAGTCGTGACAACTGATAAAGTATTGATCAAGAAAACAAATTAATCACTACAAGCCATCGATGGCACATAAGTAAAAAAGAATTGATAAAAACAAAAATCTGATTGTAATTGGAAAGGAATAGTTGACGTCCAATTGATTTGTCAAAAATAAGATGAAAAAATTTGTACTCAACAAACTTGCTAGTTGCAGTGGTTATCTTTCAGCCAAATGATGTAACAAGGTTAGATATAACCATTGATTCTAGAAGATTGTACTGAATATGAGGTTGGTGAATTGATAGTAAGGAGAGAATACAATGGTAATGAATGCTTATAGGTCTGTCCACATCAGAAGTTATCACTCAATATGATATGGTACCAAGGGTGGCAAATTAAATTATGGAATTATAGTATTTATGAAATTTATATCCATTACAAGATAAGAATTTGAGGATAAGGTGAATAGCATCATAAGAAAAGAGAATCTTATCAGAGAAAATGAACCAATACAAAGGTCGACGGAGGCAAAATAACAAGTTACCAACTCATGCTAGTCAAATTATACATCTAAAATCATGCTTAATTTACCTCTTCCTACTTGTAAATTATAATGTGTGGTTAAGAATTATTTATTTCTAATTAAGTTTTCATGTTTTGGGTCACCTAGGGGACTTACTTGCAAATATAGACAAAAGATGGGCAAAATGATGCAAAATCGGGCTAAATTGGATTGGGCCGAAATTGTAAACCAAAGAGGAGGTATATGGAAGTTTAGATGCTAAGGAAGAATGAGATGATTGGACTTCAACAAGGATGTTGATTTCAGGGCTGCAAATAAGACTAAAAAGGTGGTCAAAAGTTAGTTTGGACATGAGTCAAGGAGACAAGGAAGCATGGACTCTTCAAAACTGAACCAAAGACTAAAGCAAAAAATAGTCTTCCTTCTCTACTAAGTAATACCAACCGACAACGAGGTGTAGTTTAGTGGTAAGACACCTCACCTGTTCACCAATAGGTCACGGGTTTGAGTCACACCCGGGGTAAGTGGGGAACCACTATTGATCCCTTTAAAAAAAATAAATAAAAAAAGTAAAACCAACCAAGAAGTGACGGTGAAGGAGGCCATACTTCTTCTATAAAAGGGGGGGAAAGCTTTGAATAAGAACAAATGAGAGAGAGAGAGAGTTGAGAGTTAGCCATGCTTAATACAAAAGAATATAGAGAGAACAGCAAGGAGGAGCATGGCTCTACAGACTTGGGGAAGTCAGAAGCATGACTTAGCGAAGTCACCTGGGCAGAATAGAACACCTCTGAGTTCCTTCTTTCTCTAGCTGTTTCCTTTCTTTTGTATTTATGTTAAATACTTTGTTATGTATTCTTTTGTGCTTGTGCTTGTGCTTGTACTTATAATTAGCTAAACTCTTCTCTAGGGCCTAATCCCTTGAATCTATGTAGTTATGTTTATGAATTAGCACTCGGACGATATTTGTGAGCCAAATACTAGAGTTTGAATTAACCTTTTGATTAGCATGATCCACTAGTCAATTGTGCATGCATGTTATGTGAATCCATGATGGGTAAGCTTAAGCTTGAATGTTTAGTGTTAGCCAGTGACGAGAGGGTAACAGCTCAAGGTTTAAAACAACAACGGAAGTTAGTTCTTTGGCACGAGGCAGTCATATGGGCTAAGGAACTTAATGGCTTAATAGTATTCTGGAATTAACAACGGAAGGTAGTTGGTTTGTTGCTATTAAGACTCTGTCTAGAACAATCGAATGTGACCTTACAGTGTATAAGTGTCTAGTCGAACACAATTTCATTTCACAAAGAGTGCAAAGTAATTTATTACATAACTATATGGAGGAGAGTGGATGAAGACCCTAAGTTCTTGTTTGTTTGTATTTTCTGTCAGTTCACTTAGTCAGGTCAGCCTATCACTTGCCCGAGTCAGTCAATCAGTCTTTCTATTTAGTTTTTTGTTTCTAGTCGAATCAATTAGGATTATTAGAGTTTCACCCCTCCTTGTGGGATTGACCTAACTTACTGCAATCTATATTTTTAATTTTTTTTCTTATTTTGGTGGTTTCGACACCCATCACCAACATGGTCTAGGTTTTTTTTTATTTAAATAGAGAGGATATGGAGATTTTCAGGTTCCAACTGACATAAAAAAACTCAAGGGATCTACCCTGGAGGTAAGTTTTTATGCCAACCAGTGTCAGATGACATGATGCACCCAAGGGGTCTACCCAAGGGATGGACATACATGCCATCTAGTTCCCTAGTCTCCCCTTTCCTCAATTTTATTAAGAATATATAAAAATATAGCAAGGGCAGAGTATGGTCATACCCATGCTAATTACAATAAGTATCTACTTTAACCTTACCCGGAGATAAGGAAACGATTTTTTATCTAAGAGTACAAGGCCCCTAATACGTCTAGGTAGCCCTGTCATACTATGATACATATCAGAGCATCCAAGTGAAACTTGTCTAGCTAAGCCATCAGCTACTGAATTAGCTTCCCGGTAGATATGTGAAGATAAATAAGACCATCTAGACAAAATCGATTGAATCTCGCGTATTTGAGACTCAAACCTCCATGGTTTGAAGAACCAAGAAGATCCACCAAGACTTTGCTATTAGCCTGTACATGAACCCTTTCAAGCCCTAACTGCTCACATTTCCTCAACCCAAATAAAAGGCCAAAAACCTCAGCACCTAAGCAATCTCCCCCTCCAAGATAACCAGATTCCGCATACACAAACTGACCATCATACTTCCTAAAGACAAAGCCATATCCCGACTCCGCATGAACCGATGATCCATCTGAATTCAAGACATACCCTTCCCGCTGCTCAGAAGCCCACCTAACCAATAAGCAAGTGCGCTTCTGAAATTTTTGAATTTTAACACCAAAAGCTCTCCCCCCCCACCCCCCCAAATTACTTTCCTCCCAACTTCTTAGCTTCAAATCATGAGTCATCAAACTATCCCTTATTCCTCTTTCCACTTCGTGTATGACCATTCTAGAATCAAAAGTTGCCCCATCAAAAGACACTCGATTCCTTATCTTCCAAACCTCCCAGAGGATGAATGAAGGAATGATATTTATCAATGATTTAACCAAAGTTGAGAAGCAACCCCTATTCCACCATTGAAGCAAAACCCCCAACAAGGTTGTCTCATTGACAATATTAATTTGAAATATGCTAGCAAAAAACCTCCATATATGACTCACTTCCAGACATCCAAAAAAACAATGAGAGATACTATCTTCATTTGCTTTACAAAAAAGGCACATTTAAGGGTTTACCTGAAATCCAAACCGAGATAAAATCTCTGGGAAAGGAACCAAAAAATTCCTTAGCTTCCAAACAAAAAAAGAGACCTTCAACGGAATCAACATGTGCCAAAATTTCCTTGCCAATGGATCCACATTTCCCCTCCTTCTCAATTTCATATAAGCATATTTAACCGAAAATTGGCCTGAAGGATTATCCTGCCAAATAAGCTTGTCGCGACCCTCCTGAAATTGTAAATTCAGATGTAGCAAGTCGCGTGCAACTTGCGAATCCAATCCAACTTCTCTTTATTAATCGATTTAATTTCTGTTCAATCACATTGAGATTCTAAACTTATTAAAAGATATTTACTTATGTATAGATAAAAGATTAATAAAGAGAAGTTCTACTGTATTTAATTTCTGTTCAATCACATTGAGATTCTAAACTTATTAAGAGATATTTACTTATGTATAGATAAAAGATTAATAAAGAGAAGTTCTACTGTATTTAATTTCTGGTCAATCACATTGAGATTCTAAACTTATTAAGAGATATTTATTATGTATAGATAAAAGATTAATAAAGAGAAGTTCTACTGTATTTTCAAGAGAGCGACTACTCAATAAAACAAAAACCTAATAATATCCAGCTTATAAAATATCACTTATCTCTAGAAGTTTGCCCCACACAGGAGGGCAAATTAAATAATAATAACCTGTAATTCGTACAAAACAACACCAAAACCATACCTCTACATATTTACTCAACCTAAATTTTTCCTATGAAAGAAAAAAAAAAATGGTCTATTAGTAATAAAAACCTGCCTCTTTGCTGCCTCTTTGCTTCATGTCCGTAAAATACACGTTGCCTTTCCCACATGCAAAACTTCCTGCCTGACTAAAGTTGAGAAACTAATGATACAATCCATCAAAATACTAGGATTCACCCGCTGCTTGAAGCAAACTCCGCGCCTTCATCGAGGACAATATCTGCTGGGTCTCCGATCCATGGTTTCCCTTCTCGCCAACGGAACTTTATCCTTAATTTCCCATTTGCATCCACTCCAACCACCTCGCCTTTACTAGCCGGAGTTTCCATTCCCCAACCCCACCTAGGAGTCACCAACCCTTCTCTAATTCTGACGTTATCCCCTACTCGGAATGGTCTGACCTTTTCCATCTCAAAGGCCTTGCAAAGCCAAAGTCTCTCCATGAAGCAAAATGCTACCCAAAGATTACTATCCTCAATGCGGTGCACCACCCCAAGGCTCAAATGGCGAACATCTCCCCATTGATGTGAAGGGGTAGAAACTGTTGCCTTAACTCTAACCCAGTCGCCAATGCATAATTCCTCTTCCTGAACAAGATCAACTTCAGAAGGATCTAATGCCCAAGCTTTGGAACCAGCAGGGGTGTATATTCTCAACCTTCCATCGGCATCTATGGATGTTATATAACCAATAGAGGAATGATTATGCCCAGACCATCCAAATCTTGGCTGCTTCACAGTGTTTTTAACCCTTACTTGTTGTCCAATGACAAGTTTGTTGAATCTTTCAAGGTTGGAAGCATGCCCTACCCATTGCTCCTGCTCACCGCTGAATCCAACAAAAATATTCCCATTCCATTCATTTCCTTCGTATCCAACTCCTTGAACCACGCCAACGCTCCCTGGCCCGATCGATTTCCAGGAATTAGCAGTTTCTTTCAACATAACCCAATCTCCAACATCGAACATTTCTTCCATTTCAAGATCTGCAGGATCCCCTCTCCATAACCCAGGCAAACCAAAGAATACCACCCTTACTTCTCCATCAGCATTAACAGCAGTTATAACACCCTTTGAATCTAGTGTAGCCCCTCTCCATCCCCATCTAGGTTCAACTAATCCAGCTCGGAATCTCACATGCTGCCCAATTCTATATCCTGGTACTTTCTCCACATCAGTATGGTGAGCACTGTACTTCCCTTTCCTAAAACAGCAAGCTAATTCTAAATATCCAGTCTCCTGTACACTATGCACAACTGCTAAACTCTCTTTTCCAATACTATTCCAATCATAGCTTGGTCTTACCCCCAAGATTGGTTTTGAACGCACCCAATCACCCACCTCAAACCCAGAGAGCCTTTCAGCATCCCCGGGGGAAACTTTCCACAGACTTTGTCTACCTGGCACTCTAACCTGTAAAAAAAAAAACAAAAACAAAAAAAAAAGGATCGAAGTCAGAGACCTACGACTTATGAAGGAAAAAAATATATTAGGGGAAGATGCACGATGAATGCCCCTAGTTTCAAACACTATGAATTCACAGATAATGCTAAAAGGCACAAACAATTAGAAGAGGAGTGGGAACCATAATAGAAGAAAAAGCAACAGACAAGAAACTACTGCTTTTAAAAATAACATTATCTTAAAATTATGTAACTATTTCCCTTTATTCTGAGTTATCCAAACACGCCAACATAACAAGATAATGGAAGTAGCCCTCTCTGACCAGCAGCAAAAGAAACTTATGGGTGGAGAAAGGAAAGATAAGAAGAAGAACAGGCATACATTCAACGTTCCATCCATATCAACTCTCACAATGCTTCCAGTGGTAGCTGGCGACTCATTTGACCATCCCAGGCGTGGCTGAGTAACCGAGGATATCAAATGAATATCTTCCCCAACTTCAAAAGGAGGTACTTTCTCCACATCGGTGACAGAACATACAAAAGGTTTGTTCCTAAAGCAAAAGGCAATTCCCACATCACCATCCTCCTCCAAACTGTGGATTACACCAACACTGCCCCTGGTTACGTCCTCCCATCCATATTTAGGGCTGGATACTGAAGCTTTTACTTTGACCCAGTCCCCTACCTTCATCATGAAACAAGAATTTAAAAATGAAAACAGCCAGAGGTTGATACCTTTTAGTCTCACTAGAGAGCCATAAAGGATTCATACTATACCTTAAAATCCTCCAACTTCTCCATATCTGAAGGATCAGCCTGCCATACAGTTTGCCTATTAGGAATTTCAAGTATTAGAAGACCGTCATTCTCTATGTCTATTATCCTTCCAACACTATGATGAGTTTCTCCTCCCCAAGCATATCTAGGCTCAGCAACAGAGCGCTTTACAGAAACCCGATCACCAATCTACAGTCACAGAAATATCATTAAAAGGAATTAACATCCCAGAAAGTGTTAGCTCATAAATTGTTAATTACATTATCATCGATGTCAAGCTCTTACCCTGAATGGTTCAACTGGTTCGACTTCCTCGGGTTCACAAAGCCATGGAGTCAGGAGATAACTCAGTTCCAATAACAGACTGTTATCTGGTCTGATACAATATACAACACCAATACTTCCAGGAGAAACAGATCCTAAACCATGTTTTGCAGTGGTAAGAGATGGCCGAACACGAACCCAGTCTCCAACCTTAAATTCTTCTACCCTTTCCATCTCTGAAGGATCGGCTTTCCATCCTCTAGATGCTCCAGGAAAACCAACACGTAGAATTCCATCATCATCAACACAAAGAACAGTTCCTACAGTATCACGTGAATGTCCTCGCCAACCAAACCTGGAAAACAATTTGAACATTTATATTTCTAAACTGGCTAGCAGCAGGCAGTTGATTTTCACAAGCTAAAAGCTTTCTGAGCTGTTACTGGCTTCTGATTATAAGATACATTCCAATCAACTGAAAATAGTACTGAACATGCGACAATAAAATTTGATTAAGAGCTTAAAAGTTAGCTAAAAAGAAATGTGAGACACTTTTGGCAAGGATAACTGAACATCCCACAAATACAATTCGATTTAAGAGCTTAAAAGTTGCTAAAAATAATGTGAGACACTTTTGACTAGGACAAAACTCGTGCAGAAATATGCATTGGCTCCCGAGACGCATCAAAACCAAAGTTTTAACACAAACACACATTTAGCTATCGAGAAACATTGGAATGGCTACAGCTAGAAACTTGAAGCACTCCAGAGAATGGCATTAAATATTTCGAAAATCCCTGATATTTTGCTCATTTTTGATTTTGGGAAAGCCCTTCAGTTTTTCTTTTTTTTAAAAAAAAAATAAATTTTTCACATATATTTTTTAGTCTATGTTTCTATAGTTTCTACCTCTTTATTGGGGCATCCTAAAGGTTTCCGAGGAACATATCGAAATCATCCAACATATCTCTCTTATTTTATCTTGGAGCGACGACCACTCTCATTGTACTTCGTATGGTTCTCTGAGAAGGGAGTGGCTCCTACTGGAGCGGACACCTAATCCATAACGAACTTGAATGGCTTTCGTTTGTTCACTGCTAAACCTATGTGACCTAGGACACCCATACATGAACGTGGCTGGTCCAATACTGGAATCCATAAAGCAGGTCTAATGGTTTTTTAGGCTAACAGTAGCAGTATAGCCTGAATTCAATATCTGACATCATAAGCAGTCCCCTTATTTTCTTAAACTATAAACTTAGATAGTTAAAACAAAGATGCATTTAGTTCTTGCTGCCTGTTTTTAGTACTCTATTCAGTTCAGCTATACAGTGTCTAATCTCACTCTTAAATCAGTATCAACTCTATTTATGACGATATGTTTGTATTCTAGTGCATTTCTCCAAGCTTCCAACTAAGTATTTAGTTTTTTGATACCCACTAGTCAATCAAAATCATCTCGTGTACAAAACACTATCAGAATAAATCTTTTTAATTCCCTTCCATCTGAAACTTACAACACACACTATGGCCCTTCTGTCTCAGTTCTTAACAGCAGCGATCATAAGTTGTGTGGAGGTTCATGCATGACAATAATGAGGTCTGGTGAAATCAAGGATTGTCGACCAAAGAATGATACACAATGGTTACGAACATCAAAGTAACCCCACGTTCGTTTAACTACATAAGACCAGCATAAGCATAGCCAAAGTAGCTGAAAAACACGGAAGGTAAGGCATGTGCTTAACTGTCAAGAAGAAGATGAAAGATTTACCAAGCTGCAGATAACGCTAATAATTAAATACTGAGTATATCTTCATCTAGAAGATGGATTGATTAATTAATGCACCTCGGCTCTTTAACTTCTTTCTTAAGTTGAACGTGCTGTCCCCGATCCAATGGAATCACTTTAACAACTTCATTGGCCAGTACTCGAGCTTCCGGTGGCTCCCCAGAACAAAATGCCACCAGTAGGTTGTCCTTATCTAAGACATTTTGCACAAAACCAACACTGTTAAAGTTTGCTCCTTGCCACCCATATGTTGGAGTTTTAATGTGCTTCTTGAATTTTACCCAGTCTCCAATGTTATACCTGCATAGCAATTAGAGAGAGAGAGAGAGAGAGAGACAGACAGACAGACAGACAGACAGACTCAGAGAATGTTTTGTCATAATGAGGACATCGAAAAGTATAAGCACATATAATAAAATAGTTTCTATAAAAATCTTTACACTGTAGGAGACAAGTGAGCGCCCTTCTCAATGAGGATATCTATCAAATCTTCCGAGATCCATTCTCTTGGAAGTGCCTCCAAATAGTCACACAATGTCTTCCCACTGCCAAGTAACATATTGAAAAAGGAGAATTTAGTTGAACTTTCCATTTTCAAAAGGTTCCAGTGAACAAAAACTTCTTTCGAGTTTCTCATCATGTGAAAAAACATCTAAGGGCATCTCCAACTCAAAATCCCTCTAAGCTCTATATTTAGAGTTGAAACAGTGAAATACCACTACTTTTACAGTTTAAACAGTGTCTGCATCTCCAACCCATTCCCTCTATAAAATCCCTCTAAAAGGAATATTTTCAGTATATTCTATTATTTATTATTTTTTTTGTAAAGTCAACTTTTTTTCTTTTATATTTTATTACTTCCTCCGGTCCTTATTATAAGGCATTTTTGATTTCGTCTTAGATTTAACCTAGGATGTCTTTTTAATTAGAAAAAAACCTTAAAAATATATTTTTTACATTCGTTGTGTTCTCCTAATTATTATGAAATGTTTTTAAGGTTTTTATTCCTATTAAAAAGATATCATAGGTGAAAACATAGGACAAAATCAAAATGTCTTATAATAAGGACAGGAAGGAGTATACTCTATCACTAAAATTAATTACATTTAAGAAATTTTATAATTACGCATATTATCATTAATTTAAATAATAATTAGTAATATTAATCATTAAATTTAAATTGCAGAACTTGTATGTAATTAATTATAGTAATTTTTTCATCATATATTATAGTAAAATAGCTCAGTTTAGCGGACGCTTTGGAGATGCTCTAAATCATATCAAGACTTGCCTGTGATTCCTGGCTTCAAAGGCAGCATCGGGATACCTCAGCATAACAGTGATCCATTCGAGATTTTCCCGTACCATTTTTGCTACCTCAGCAGCTATATGAAAGGCATTGTCGCCATCATTATCCTGATGGTAAATAGACAGGAACCTTAAGAAGATTAAAAGAAAGCAAGAACTTGCTCACAACAGGCAGAAAAAGGTAAATGAAAGCTAAACATGCAAAAGGATTGAAACTTTGGATATGGATGAACAAAAACAAAATCCATATGCGAACAAATACAAATAATTGTACTAGAATTCGAGACCCCATATTTTTAATGAAAAAGTAGTCAGGTCGACTTGGGCGTACCAACAGGCCAAAAGAAGGAGACCAACACCTAAGGAAAAGTACTTGAAAGGAAAGAAAATTTTGGCGATGGATTCCTTGCACATTTAGCCTTGAAAGAAAAAGGAATATAATGGAGCAAACGTAATAGCAGCAGAAGATTAGACGGCTTTCCTAATATTCAGCAACAACACAATCAGCAGTCAGAATTGTATGCTCTTCAGAAGCAGTTGAACTACCAAGATGACAGCCATCCTTCTTTAAACAACTAGGATGAATTCAAAAGTTTAAAAGCGACGAGGATGAATTCATTAACGCACTAACAAAAGTTTAAAAGCGACGAGGATGAAGAGGCCATTAACGCACTAACAAAAGTTTAAAAGCGACGAGGATGAATTCAAAGAGGCCATCATCGCACTAACAAAAATCAGTAAACCACATAAGTTAACAGTTAGTTACTATAGCCCTGCAGTAGACAAAAACTCTAAATCGCTCCCTAACAATATTAAGTACTCCAAAATAATCCGTAATCATAAACATAGAAAATGATCGCGAGTTAGGATTGGCAGTGGAGTTTATCTTCCACACACTTACATGTGTGGGGAAAGTTGTCCTATGATTGAATGATTGTTTTTCTTTTGGTGAATGATTCAAAGATTTCAATTTACTCAACCTTTGAATCATGTTGAAGAATTTATTCTCTATCCTTCTATATTGCATACTCTGTTTTCCCTCTTTGATGTCCTCCAGGTAAAAGGCTGTTTCAGCCACAACTCATATCATGCACCAAGGTGAACTTAGAATGGTGCACCCACCAGCTACGTATTTGTCTAGAACAGAAGAAAATTACAATCAAATCCCTCCCATGCCTGAATATAATATAGCTTGTGCACAGTAGGCCCGCTTGCTGGCTGTTCGTCATCAACAACTTCAACAAGGTATCCATAAACAATGGACACCTGAATAACCAAGTTTCCAACCCTTAAATCTTTTCCTGAATTACAGCAACAGTACTAGCATAGGATATCTCCCAGTTGGACATAATAAAAAACCATAAAGATCAGATGGGACCCATAGTATTCCAGCTAATTATAACCAGTAGTATTAGCACATTGTACTCCAGCCAATTCCAACATCAAGATTGTACAAGTTCCACTAATGGAATTCCCCAAGTAATATCATCTGGACTTTTCTTTCCTTTTGTGTATCAGATATCAAGAATCTGGTTGGTGTGAGCTTCAATTCAATTGGCCCATTAGGACAAAATTTGATTTTGAATTTAAAGCATTTCAGTAGATTCGCAAAGCATTTTATCTGAATTTAGCGTTTCTGCCTAATAGATTCCGCCACTTGATATGCCACCTCTGGGGAAAGATCAAGGTGGTCCCACTTTTGCTTACTGGAATTCCACCGCTGGATATGCAGCTTCCAGGAAAAGAAAACTATGGTCGTCCCCATTGTTAAAAGTAAATGGCGGGCCATGTGGTGGTAATTGAACAAAGGTGGTAGAGATGATGCTTGGTGACAAGTAGTATAGATGATGGGGGGCTAAACATGGGGCTGCTGTTGTGGATCAAAGTTGCTGATGAAAGAATGAAGGTGACTCACAGTTTTTATAGAAAATTTAGGAGAAAAAATAAAGAAAAAAAGAAAGAGAATAATCATAACAATCATTTTACTGTAATAATTGAAAAGCGAAAAAAACTACAACTTTACTGAGAAAAGGGAAACCCCAAAAGTTATTTTGGCATGAAAACCAGAGTGTTCAGAAATATGAAAATAACAAAAACATTTAACCCTTTACTCACAGGTGTGATCCATTGTACAAACCATACTCCGTGAATAAGAAAGTTGTAAAATATATTCAATAAATCATGTCCTTATTTTCTTGTAATTCTTCAGGTCCCTTTCCCTTTAGAAACGCAAGCTCAAAAAATTAAAAAAGAAAACAAAAGGAAAACTAACATTCTAAAACTAAAAGAAAAAGAGTAAGGAAACAGTGAAAATAATGAGAAAAACGATATTTTTTAATTCAGAGATAAAAAGGAAACGGAAAGTGGAAATGAATAGAAGTTTTTAAAAAAGTAGAGAAAGAAAAAAAACAGAAGGAAAGGGAATGACTAATGAATGAAACGAAAGATGAAATAGAAACTTCACGAGGAAAAAGAAAATAAACAAGTGAAATAACAGGAACTCTCGAATAAGTCAGGATAAAAAATTCACAACTTTTGCAAGGGTACAAAAGCCAAATTTTTATGTGCCTTAATGTCATTAAAGTTGTCCATTCTAGGAGTTAGCGCTTGCCAGAGGCCGTTGGAGCAGCAGGAGTCTGTTTATTAACCTCAACTGTCAAACACAATAGAGACTGCCAAAACAACATTTATCATCCTCCTACTCCAGAAAGTCTCAAATTTTTTTTTTATAAGAGAAAAAAAAAAGAAAGAAACCATTGTTTTTCCTTTTTCAAAAAAACCCACCACCTGTGGGTCCAACATTTATAACATATGGGAAAATCCCCCCCATGATAATAGATCACGGGTCTACTCCGAGAGAGAGCCCCCTGTCCTAATTCTACCATTGGACGGCGTTTTCAAAAACTTCAAAATGTTTGATTGAAATAACATAACATAAGCCTGCATTGATTTTGAGGAACTTACTGGGACATGCAAGTATGCGAAGTGAAAGTTAACGAAAAGATTGTCTCGATCCCACAAATAGAGGTCAGAGAGAAACAAGACAACAAAAGAAACACATATAATTCAGACGCTTTAATTAACGTGCAGGTTTATCACAGTACAGTAAAAAACAATGTAAGATTAGAGATGATCAATGAAGCAACATCCATCATTACACATACATAAGCAATCAGTTTTTTTTTTTTGGGGCGGGGGGTAGTGGTGGTCTGAAGAAAAAGGAAAAGGCCATTGGTAATGAACCAAGCATACCAATTACATAGATATTATGAATATAACTAACACAATAATAAAAGTTAATGTCATGCAAATTTGAGTGGCAACTATCAAGATAACCACTGCTCTACCAAACTACAATTATGGCAAGTCAATAAATTGGCGTACTGTGGATTGGACATTCAGTTAACCCAGCTGACAAGGTAACAGAAAGATACCTAATTACTGGAACCCTAATCGTTGCAGCATAGTTTCGAGAGTTTACAGCTTCTTCCACGGAACACTAGTCTTTGTTCACAAAAGAAGCACTTGGCAATTCTTGAACTGAAAAGTCTATTTCTGTTTGCTACTGATAATAGAATGCCAGTTTTGTCTTCAAATTTAACTCTCCCTCCTGTCGTTGATTTGCTCTAACAACATTAGATTACTCAATCAGTTGATCTTCAATGGCTGAAGATGAACTTTGAATCCATACTATATATTGCATTATTTATACTATATATATAGATATATATCGACACTTCAGCCAAGTACTTTCCTTGCACCAAAGTTCATTGTAAATAACTTGCCAAGTTCAAATTAGAGGTCTCTTTTAACCTTGTCTATTTCCTATGCTTTCAGCTACCAATACCTACAGTCAAACCTCAGTTCTACTCGTGTTAAATCCAATCCGAAATGGCTGACACACTCTCAGATATGCTTATACCACTGAGAATACTGGGAAATCTTTAATTATTACAACTAAGGCAAATCCTAATACCAAACTGAAGCTTTACCACCAACACTTGAGAAATATTAAACTATACATTGCAACAATTACTACTCTTTTTTCGTAATCATCAAGAAACTAGAAAAGGTCTGTTTACGAAAAAAGAAAAAAAGAAGACATTGTTGCTCCATCCACTCAGCTATACTTTAAGCAATCAGGTCTTGCCAATGCGCTCAAGAAAAAACAGTTACTTCACAAGTAGAACACTGAACTGTCCACCACAGGCAACAAGCACCGGTAATATATCTAAGATAATAGAGGGTAACAACTAGGACATAACAAGAATGGAAGAAATTACTGTCAATGATAGAAAAACACCATTCAGTAGTGTCATGATACCTAAAATTGCATCAAATATCTCACAACTTGACAAGCAAAATTATCTTTCGCGAAATCTCATTTCGTCAAACAGTGCAAACTTTCCTTTTTGTCCTGTTAAGTGTTGTCACTCATCCAAATACCAATACATGTTTAGGTTAAGTGACAATGCAATATTTCCAATAGCATCCACTGAGCAATTAAGGATCTTCAAATGCATAATAAGCAATACAACCTTCATCAATTTCATCCACACTAAGAATAAAAGAAAGTCAAATGCAATAAACATCAAGGGAAAAAAGGATCAACCTGCAAATTACAATTCGCCCCTGCTGATAAAAGTAATTCTACACATGAATTTGCACCTCTGGCCAATGCCACATGTAAAGGTATAGTATTGTGTGTGTTCCTGATGTTAACATCAACTCCAGCATCAAGAATAACCTAAAAAAAGATGATGAGAGGAATGTATAATTAAGATATTACACATCATGCACATAAGGTCCCAATCCCATCAAATAGTCAGCTTGCACCTCCATTTCCATAATTTTGAAGTGCGTAGCCTACCTTAACCAAGTGAACGTCATTAATCATCGCTGCATTATGAAGAGCTGTTCTACCATTTTGGGGGTCTTCTGCAGTGGGATTAGCTCCAGCTGCAAGCAGCATGCGTACAAGCTCCCTACCTGCTGCTAATTCAAAAACAATGAATCGGTAAATACAAGAACTAACCACAAAACTATGTGACGAGGGAAACAGTCACAAAAAATTATATTTCAACTCAATCTAAAAAGCATTCTGACAAAAGATAAACTTAATGCAAGTCAAGCTCAACCAGCTTCATGATCTTTTTTTAAGGCAGCAGCCATGCACAAAGCAGTTCCACCCCGACTTGGAATATCAATAAATTCAGCAATCTCTTCCTTAGAAGCCAGCTCCAGCCATCGTTTGACAATAGTTATGTTCCATGTCATTACACACAAATGCAGCGGTCTGCAAGAAAAAAACTTTAAATTTGAGTACTCAAATGTTTAAACTGACAGGAAGTTAAGAACATCATTGTCACATTAGCGCACACAAGTAATTAACACACACTATGTACTGCAACCTAATGAACATCAGCCTGTTTTCAGTAACACTTACTGGCTACCATTTGGCATATTTCCCCTTCCCTTTCAGATATTTAAAAGCTATATCCGTGTATTCTCAAACGACTCAGTAGAATTAGCCTATTGCTGACATTTCATGGAAGAAATTCGAAGAAATTCTTAGTGTGAAAAATTGGCAATTTAAAAAAAAGTATAATGTGAATAACTATCATTACGATGCCTGCAAGGAAACCACCTAACTTCAGCACACATTCAGCCGTTAATGGCAATCAATAACTCTTGCCATTCAATGTGCAGCTTAGTATCAAAACAGACATGTGAAAGTTCAATCTTAAAGCTGCCTACACAATTGTGGTCAAACAGAAACTGTTTTCCTACACGTTTTGAACTCCCAAACTTCTAAGAGTTCAAGTATATGTAGCTTTCACTTCTTTTATCCAAGAAACATATCACGTCCACAGGCATTATAGACAAATGACAGTACACCGTGTAAGTGGAAATACGTATCGATGACTTAGTAAACATAGTGGCAAAAATCCAGTACACTTACATAAGCAGCATGCTGGAGATAATCACTCATGCTGTCAATGAAAATGAAAATGAAAAGCCACTGTTGCCACCAACCAACAAAATCTAAAAGGGGGAATACTTTCTTTCTAACCACAACTAACAGAGAAAGACAAGCAGTTCTTGCAGACACTTAAAATTTGAGCGCCCAACACTACGGTGAAAGTAAAACATATTTCATGAAATAACAAAAGGACAAAAGAAGAATGCATTTTCTACATACGTCAAATTTTTCGAGTTCAAGACACCCATTGATTTACAGCCTCCATTTTCCAAAATAACAATTGCACATTCTGTACATTTCTTGGCAACAGCTCTATGAAGTACAGATTCGCCCTCATTATCTACTGCATTCGGATTAGCCCCAGCTAACAAGAGCTCCTGCCATTATGTAGGAATCAATGAAGAATGACCTTTAAAAGTACAAATCAAAGACACAAACAGAAAATAGCATTAAAACAAATCTCTTCATGTAATTATTCATTTAGTAAAGAATCCCCAAAATGAGACAATTAGCTCCATTGCCGATCCTAACTGCAGCTCCTTTCCATTTTTATTCTATGTGAAATAAATACAAAGGTCACAATTTGTGGCATGTAGGATTTCAATCTCTTTTGAATGATAAGATTAAAACAAAAGACCACTTGATCTTATTGATCACCGATTCCTTGAATATCACCCTTGTTTCCCATATTCCCTATGAAATCAAATGAGGAACTTACACGCATGCAGTCTGGTTGGCCATGATAGGCACATACATGAGCGATTGATGGTCCCAGGCCTTCCCTCAATACAGATTTGACATTAGCATTATGACGGATGAGGGCATGCACACATTCAGGAGAACCAGCTGCCAGTGCAAAAACTAATGGAGGATCGCCATCTTTGTCTAAAACATCAACATTAGCCTCTTTATATTCCAAAATAGCCTGAACAAGTTGCAAGCTGCCCCGTCTACAAGCTAGGTGAAGAGCAGTCTGACCATCAACATTTTGAGCTTCGAGTAGAGAACTCAATGAGGAAATACTCTCCCCAGATGCACTTTTAGCAAGCAAGTCTCTGTGGCATAAAAATTAATTGCGCAGGATGAGTATGAGGAAAATTTATGTCTTGATCAGTGAAATGTGATTTACTAAATCAGAGGTTGGAACGAGGAAGGAGGACCAACAATATTCAGAAGTAACAACAATAATGACTTGATAATCAAATGAAGAAAGAAAACATCATAATAAACTAACCGGACAGCATTCACATTGCCTTCAGAGACAAGCTGAAGTAGAAGGTTGGGATTGTTTTGACTGAACTTTGGACCAACCAAATCAGATGGTGTCATCCCATTTTCCAATGGATATTTAGCCAATACACTACATATAAAAAGGAGCCGACTTCTCAATGAAAATTTTAATACAATGCAAAATGAACAAAAATAAGTTGGGAATTGGGGATTCAGTCACATATTAGCTCGCTGTATCCTATTAACTATCCTACTTAAACTAATGAGTAACACTTAGCAAATCAGCCACAACAGTATTACAAAAACACATATCCACCGCCTGCTCAACTTTACATAGCTAAATGTTTACAACAACATTTAACCCGCTTCCAAACCCATGCAATAAAACTTTTCACAATTCAAGAAAAAAGACAATTCACAACATATTACCAGTCCCACATTATGTAAAGATGGAGCTACCAAATTCTGGTATCAAGACGGGCAACATAAGGATAGATCTACTAAGCCTGTGTCAAGGCTACCTCATCAGAATTCTAGCTACCAAAAATAGAGAACATTAGGTGCATCATTCAACCATGAAAAAGAAAACTTGTTTTAACAGAACTTGAGCTATGAGGAGGCAAAGTACTCTGGAGCAGGAGAAGTAAAGGTAGGGTGGGAAATGGGATTTTGGCACAAATAATGGGGTAAGTGGGAGTATGACATTGTTCTCGGAGGTATCTAGGAAAGAAATTCCTAGCTACCACTAGGTTTTGACAATGCAACATAACAGGGTAGGGTAGGAGACCGGTAAGATGATCAATTTGCGAGGATGATAGATACATGGAATGACAATTAAATTCTGCACCAAACTAGAAAGAAACACTTCATTCACAACTTAGACAAGTAAAAGCCATGAAACCGAACTTATAAATGCCACAGATGTAAACCACAATGTCATCCCAGGTATCTTACTTATCTGGGCTTGCCGGGGGACTACGGGGTATCTCTTGCAAGTGGCGAAGAAATGTTGTTAACATGGCACTAAAAGTTGGTCTACGAGATGGCCTAAATTGCAAGCATTCACCAATTATCTTCCATAAATCCCTAGGTATTCCGACTCCAACTACACTTGCATACTGAGGAGGTTGCCTCTTTGCCTTGACAACAGCCCGATAGATTTCTTCTGCGCTTAAACCAACCCACCTGCGCAAGGAGCACCAACCAGTAGGGGCTTTCCATCAATGACAGAGAAAACAAGTAAACCATAGTGGACAAAAGCAACAAATTACAAGCAGAGACATACGGGATAGAACCGGTGCACATTTCCACTAATGTACAACCAAAGCTCCAGGCATCTGATTCAGCAGATATGCCAATTGCCTCTTCCCAGAAGAGGTTAAGCGACTTCTTAACAGGTTCCCATGCCTCAGGAGCAGTGTAGTTAGGGCTCAGCATGGTGCACTCCATACACGAATGCACTCTTGCAGACTCACCCTCTGATCGAGCCTTTCTACAGGCAGGCTTTTTAAGTATTGCTGGGAGCCCATAATCAGACACGACTGCATGACCACTTGAATCTACTAAAATATTGGAAGGTTTAATATTCATACAAATAACACCAGCAGCATGGAGTTCAGCCACTCCACGAGCAATATCTGCCCCATACCTACAATCAAGAATCAATCTTAATCATGAAACAAAAAAAAATGGGAAGAGGAACACAAGAAATCAAATCATCATCGTCAAACATCACCATACAAAAGTGTAATATTAGTGTTGCTGTTATTAAGGTTTCGAGCTTTTATATCAACGGAACCTTTTTCCAAATCAGTTGGCAAGGAAACCATCGGTGTGGATTGCCATGCTTGCAGGCACTTCAACAACATTATCAAACTAAATAACACTGTTCAAGAATGTTCATTACTTACTATATAAAGAATACTCGGAGATATCTTCATTGCATATTATTGACTGGACAGCCACACGACAGGGAACATGAAATAAATTATCAGTGACACACAAACCTGTAAAATTCCATATTGGAGAAGCTCATCTAACCAAACTTGGAATGGAAAAGATAATATTAGTTAATCTTTCTAACTTGCTTCTCTGATACTAAATTAAATGAACCCGAGCATAGTCTTGTCACTGAAAATAACTTTTTCCACTGTTTTCCTGTAGAATGAAATCCACTTAACTCAGACAAAATTTGAGCTCAAAGAAAGAGAACGCATTCAGTGTTGAGAAGTATATACCTCAAGGCTTTTGAAGGACCAGTAAACATAAAACAAAACCACTCGCTGACAAACTGCAATCATCATTATATGTGGCAAGCATAAAGCAGACATAGTAAAAATAACACTACAAGATAATAAGTAAAATGATTTGATATGCATTCAAAGCAACGGTAACAGAACAAGTAAAACTACAAGAAACAATTAACATAATTGGTGAATTATCTCTTAAATGTTTCTAGTTTCTGTTTACTAAACCGTGAATTCCTTCATTAACTTAATGCGCCTTTGAACTCAATAAACCTTCGACATGGGAACTTGAACGTAAAGCTCTCGACTAAGTTCAAAAGACCTAGCTTAGCTTAGTAGGCCAAGATACAAACTCCACTAACGAATGTGATGATCTTTTCCGGCCCAATCCAAAATGAGAAAAAAGTGGCCCGGCCAAGAAGTTGGAATCGAAAAGGCAGGTAAGCATAAACGGAAACAATACATAACCAATTTATAACCCGTGATCATTCAACTAGTGACATCTAGTTTTAGAGAATATGGTGGAACTAAGCAAGTACCTAAGAATTTGCTCGAGGGTAAGACGTCCTTCATTCCTTTGCATCTCTGTCAGCACAGATCCTTTACACCTATCCATGACTAAACCTAAACTCCCGTCGCCTAATCTTGTGGCGCCATGAAATGCACACACATTCCTGCACCACATTGACGATCTCCTCAGCCCTTCGAGTTGCCCCTGGACCCAAACGACATCCATCTCCTCCCCGAATGCCACCTTCTTAACCGCCACCTTATGGCGGCACCGGCCATTACTTCCAACCATGGTAGCGGTCCACATCTCCACCATAGCTCCTCCCGTTGCCCTCCGACTGCTGCTATTATTTTCCCCAATCCTCCTCACTAAATTTACCACCTGATGCATTCCCACCTCAATCCTCCCACTCCCTCCTCCTCCACCGCAGCTGGTAGTGGTGGCGGCGTGCACCCCCCTGCGCCGCCTCCTCGCGGCATCATCATCGCCGTCGTCATCATCATTACCGAACAATTCTTTACCTTCCGCATCCTCTTCATCCTCCTCGTCCTCATCTTCAGTAAAATAGTTGGAAGCAGAAGTGGTGGAGTCATTAATTAGAGCTAGGATCGCGTAGTTCTTCTTCAAAGCGGTGACAGAGTTGCCCACCATGGAAACGTGGCGGCACCTCGGGCAGGAAAGGGTCGTTTCAAACGATGCTGAGAACATCTTTGATAAGCACTCCTTGCAGAATCCATGGCCGCATTGAAGCAATAAAGGGCACCGCTCATCCTCGTTGTAGCGATTGTGGCAAACCGAACAACAAGGGAGCCGCATAATTGGGAATCAATTCTGATTTTTTGAACTTTTAAAATCTTTGATCACCTCAAACACCGGAATCGGTGAAGCAGGGATTTTCCCTTTTTCCCTTTTATCAGCAGCAGCATACAAGAAGAGAAGACTAGTGAGCAGATCCGGGGAGATTATCTGAGAACTGGATGCGCCGAAAGTGAAGTTAAGAGATACAAGTACATATGTTGCTGATTTGATGCAGTGCAGCTACTTGAAGCTAGCTAAATAATAGTACTGTAATAATAGTGGAGTAATTTGTAATTCGATTTTTTCAGGATGAGAAATGATATAGCCAACCGAAAATACCCATAATATTACTACTCATGTCTCAAAAAATAGTTCAATTTTAGAATATTTCTGTATCTATGTATCTATGTATCTATATTTTAAATATATATATATATATATGTTTTCAATCGGACATATGGCGTAAGTTCAGATAAGATAAATCACATGGCGGAAAATTAGATACCAAATCCACATGTCGCAACCACATCGCTCCATCATTTAATGATTTTTTAATTTAAAATTCTAAAATTATAGATTAAAAAAAACTACAAATACAAAATATACACTTACCTAACCGTTCCCTTAGCAAAACCAAAACTATTAATGACTAGGAAAAAAATAATATTAATAGGCCAAAAACCAATCACACTAGATAGATTAAGAACGTTAATTTGCTATCCCAATTTTAATATTTCCTAAGATTTTATATTATAATGCGTAAACCCATAAATATTAATAATTCACTTAACATTATTAAGGGAAATAATAACAACCACGTATGTAATAGCAAAAAATACAGAACAACCGTTTATCTATATATATATATATATATATATATATGTATGTATGTATTAAAGAATTCAAACTAATAAATATAAACAAATAAAAAACAATCAATTTGACGTTTTAAAAAAAAAAAAAAACCCACGCCAGTCTTGATGAGGAAAACAATTCACCAATCAATATTTATTTCTATAGTAATATGTTAAAGTGTAACCATTGATCGGATTTTTTTTCTATTGCCTGACGGGCATGATTAGAAAAATCTATTCACCGATCAATATTGATTTCTATAGTTATGTGTTAGGTCCTTTTTATTGTTTAGTATTTAATTAGTTTTTATTTCAAGTGGTGGTGTTTAAATTATGTGTTAGGTCCTTTTTAGTATTTTTTAATAGTAATATAAATTTTGCCCCTTTACAGGCATCGTTAATAACGATCACTTTTGATTACGTTGTGTATGGTGATATATTTTTTTCCCCTTAACGGTTTATACTAACTATTGATTATGTTGTGTAAAAATTACAAACTTTTAATAATATAATAATATTATATTATATACTAGATAATATATTATAAAATAATATAATGAATATTTTTAATAAATTAATATAGTAATATAATATATTCATTATATTTTTTATATGATATACAAATTGGCGTGGGTCTGGGGCCTTGGCCAGTGCTTATCTTAGCCGGTAAGACCAGGCAAACAGACTAGCAAGGAAACCAGGCCGGAATCCAAACCACCACCCTGGCTGATACCATTCATCCGGAGCTATGCCATGTCACCAACTACAGGATCAAAATCTCTATCCATCCTTAATTAAAATATCAATAATCGAGATGCATGGAAAAGTTTCACCCAACTCTCAAGCTGTCTGAATTCACAACTTATTGTGCATCATGTGGCCTCTTTTTCCCTAAAACATTTCATCATAACGGTACTTTTCCACCCAATGCACTTATTGTTGAGTTTTCCGACTGAACTCGGAATCGGAACCAATATCAAATCATCGTATTTTAATTAAAAGAGAAGAAGGAGATAGAGCTTCCATGTATAATTTATGTAAACAAAAGCCAAATGTTTGATTCAGACAAAGGATTTACTCAGACATTGTCTGAGTACTTCAAACTATAAATTAAAACAAACTTAAAGGAAAAAATTACCTTTAAAAGCTTCTTCTATTCTTCAAACTTGAAAGATATATTTACTGAATGATTTCTTTACAAGGGAGAGAGAGAATTTCGAGATAAAGGAAGAAGAAAAGAGAGAATACTTGGAGAGAATGATGCCCTCCAAATGAGCTTCTACCTCCTATTTATAGACATTTCTAAATACTATTTTACAAAAAATTATTAATTCTTGTCATTATTTGACATGTTTTTCTTTAGATTTGACTGATGGTGGGGTCCACTTGTATTAAATTTCAAAAGTAGATTCCTACTTTTGTCATTTCATTCTTTTTCTTTTCCTTTGGCTGATTGAGCTGTTTCTTGAATCTGCTGTAACAGATTTTTGATGAATTCATCGAGATCGTCATCTTTTTCTGGTGACTGAGATTCTCCGGCCAATACTGCAAAAGAATTTTCTTCATTGGAAGTTATACTCTTCATCGAAACATCCGATTTTTCTGAAATATCATCATTGTCGAGATTCTTTAAATTTCTCATGAGATCTGCTTTAACTTCTTTCATATAGGCTGATATTATCTCTTCCTTATTAATTGCTCCTTGCTGAAGCTGAATCCGTTTTGTGATGTGTTTGAACGGACTTTCTTCATCTGGGTTTGCTTTGAGCTGTTCTTTGTCTTGAGTATATTCCTTGATTTTCGGGCAATTTCGTCCAGCAAATCTTGTCCTTCCATTCTTTTGGTATTGTGATTCATCTTTGTTAATTTATCCCCAGAATTTGGTATAATATGTCTTATAAAGACACGGAATTTGAAATTCATTGAATCTCACCTCAGGGACCCATTTATAAATCCAAGGAATCGAGAATTCAATAAAGAAGTATAACAGAGTGATTTTTCCTGGAGCACAGATATGACTGTGTTGAAGTTTATCAATGATAGGGGAGGATTTTAACCATTGATAATATAATTTTGAAAAATTATCTGGCAAAATTTTTGCTGTTGGGCCATATAATGCCCACCACTGAATAAACCAATTGGGTATGGGAGAAGAATATACATGGGAGCATATTTTAATGAACCAAGTATGCTTTTTTCTAGGGTTTTCATAATAAAAAGTTTTGTAAAAACTTTGAATATAATCCCAGTAAGTAAATTTCAAAGGAGGAGAAGTAGGAGTATTACGTACTTCTCTTTCAGAAAGGGTTGAAATTCCCCATTCCTTAGAAGATAAAATCTTTTTGATAATAATTTTGAGAAGTTATAAACTTGATTGTAGTCCGATTAGACCGAAAATGTGTTATTTCACATGTTTGTTTGAGAATATTCTCATAATAATTTCGGGTTTGTATGACTCACCCGGTATCATTACCCTTCTCGCTAGATATCTTCGAATATTACCCATGGATCATTTTTCCACTGAATATCAGCGTTTTCAAGAAGGAATATTACCTCCTTTGTGGATCCTTTTTCATATGACCGGATATCATCCTGGTCAGTGTCACTTACTTTGGCAGCAAAGGTATCACTTTGTTGCTCTTGGATATGATCCATAATCTGCTTATATAATGCAGAATCATTCTGAATAAAATCCATTATTTGGACCAATTTCGCATTCGATGAGGAGGATTCCTCCTGAGATTTTGAAAAATCAGCAGCTATTAGCTTTTTATTCCCATGTTGTATTACAGGGTTTATTGTTCTTCCTCCACGACCTCTATTAGGGCCGCGTCCTCTATCGGGCGGATACATAATCCTGTAAAATTAGAGAATTATTAATGATAATTTTGCTTTACAATAATTCAACCTTTCTTCACTTTCAGTTAATCTTTCAGTGAAGTCTTCTATCATGTCATAGACAAATTCAAGGTCTTCAAAATGATGTTATCTGTTGTGGTGAAGTAAATTCATCAAAGACAATCAAGAATTGTATTACGAACTCGTAAAAAGTGATTTAGTCTATGCTTTGCAAAAATATATTCCATTCTACAATGCTTATATTCAGCAACAATCTTATTATAAGCAATATGTATTACGGATAGTGGTTTAAGATAATTAACTTGTGGCCACTCCATCCTGCAAATATTCACGTGATAAAAAATCAGGTAAAGAATTATCACTACCTTTTTTATATAAAATTTCAAAATCAAAAGGGGCTAAATTAGCCTGCCATCGGGCATATATTTGCTTTGAAGAATCATGCTTATAATCTTTATAAATCATGTGTTTAACAGCTAGTGCATCAGTGTGAATGACAAACGACTGATTAAATAAATCATCTTGGAATTTTAATACACATTTTACAATAGCAAGAAATTCTTGTGCAACAGTTGCATATTTCTTTTGAGGTTCTGTCCATTTACCAGAATGATATCTAATAAGATATTCATTATTATCATGAGGGTTAATTCTGTTTCAAGATTCCACCGAATCCTATGCTACTAGCATCAGTTTCTATTATCTTTTTCCAATTTGGATTTTCTAATGTTAAACATGGTAGAGTTTTTACTTTTTCTTTTATTTGTTTAACTAATTGAGTATGCTTTTCTGTCCAATTAAATTTAATTGATTTTTTAAGCAAATCATATAAAATTGCTAAATCTTTCTATAAGTTCTTATAGTATGGTGAAATATAATTTAAACTCCCTAGAAATCTCTGGAGTTGAATTTTCTCAGTGAAAACATCAGGAAATTTAGAAGAAAATTCAATTGATCGTTGAATAGGGGTTATTTTCCCTTGACTTATTTGATGACCAAGAAATCTTATAGTATGTTGAAACAAAAGCATCTTTGGTTTAGATATTACTAATCCATTTCGTAAAATAACATCCTTTAATATATTAAGATGTTTAAAATGTTGTTCAATATTATCAGAGAATACTAAGATATCATCAATGTAAACAATTATAAAATCCATATAATGAATAAATATATCATTCATGATTTTCTCAAATTCGAAGGAGCATTTTTAATCCGAATGGCATCACATTCCATTCAAATTGTCCTATAGGCACATTAAAAGCAGTTCTATAAGTATGCTCAGGATTTATTTGAATTTGCCAATATCCAGATTTTAAATCGAATTTAAAAAATATGTTGGCATTATATAATTTTGATAATAAATCTTTTTTATTAGGTATAGGATATCTTATCCATTTTAAAACTTTATTAAGTGGCTTATAGTTTATTACTAATCTCGGGACGCCACGTTCTTTTTCAGCTGCATTATTAACATAAAATGCAGTACATGACCAGGGAGATTGTGAAGGTTTTATTAAACCCTTTTGAAGCAAAGAATGTAATTCTTCTTTACATAAATTCATATATACAAAATTCATTTGAC